TGCAGTTACAGAATGTCATGAGTTGCATGGCTATAAATCAATTATACATAAAAGAATATTATGGTCATAATGCTAGCAATCCAATCATGCAACTATGAGCAAATATATATAACAACAAAGTTAAACTCCCACTTATCATTCCATGAATACAAAAAAATATTTTAGAGTAATTTCCTTGATTACACATCAAGATATGAAAGAACTCACAATTGATACAACCAAAAATAAATAGAAAAAATAAGAGTTAATATCACTACAATGCCAAGCTATACCACCATGCGATAATGCAACATAATCATAAGAAATCACAGAAATAAGAGCACTATTTTATTAAATTTCTCCTAAAACAAACTTGTTTGGAGATACTTTATACTGTCAAAAACCTCTTGACTAGTCAAATCTCTTGAATTCTCAAAATATGAACTCTAATACTTTGATTTTCCCATAATTTAATTAATCGAATTAAATCGAAATGGTTAACAAACTTTCAAAACAATATACGGAATAAATCTGAAATAAAACTCAACATTAAAGCAAATATTTCGATTCACAGATATGTCAAAAAAAAAAAAAAACAAAAAAAAACTGAAAGTTCAACTTATTCCTTGTTCCACGCAAAGGTAATCCTGTTCGAATCACAAATTGGTAGTCCAATTCACTAATTCAAATTTTTTTTAATTTTTTTTTTATTATATATCATCCTTTCTCGCTTAGATAAACCTGTAAAAAAAATTAGCTACAAAAGAAAACAATCAAACAAATCAAATAAAATAGTAAGAATCTTACATAATAAAACTTTTATTTTTAATAAGAGCACTATTTTATTAAATTTTCTCCTAAAACAAACTTGTTTGGAGATACTTTATACTGTCAAAAACCTCTTGACTAGTCAAATCTCTTGAATTCTCAAAATATGAATTCTAATACTTTGATTTTCCCATAATTTAATTAATCGAATTAAATCGAAATGGTTAACAAACTTTCAAAACAATATACGGAATAAATTTGAAATAAAACTCAATATTGAAGCGAATATTTCGATTCACAGATATGTCAAAAAAAAAAACAAAAAAAACTGAAAGTTCAACTTATTCCTTGTTCCACGCAAAGGTAATCCTGTTCGAATCACAAATCGGTAGTCCAATTCACTAATTCAATTTTTTTTATTATATATCATCCTTTCTCGCTTAGATAAACCTGTAAAGAAAATTAGCTACAAAAGAAAACAATTAAACAAATCAAATAAAATAGTAAGAATCTTACATAATAAAACTTTTATTTTTATAAATTCCTACCAACTTAAACACTAACAATCACATAACTCATGCAATAACAACTAATTAACATAAAATAAATTGCATGAATAAATTATTAGAAATAAATAATTCAAAACAATCCAATAACTCTAGGCAATTAAATTAATTTTAATTTCAAGAGTTATTAGAATAAATTAAAATAAAAACTAAATTATTTTTTCAAAAACTATTTATAAAGAATCTGTTTTAAGATTGTTGATATTTTTTTTCATAATAATACATGAAAAATATATAAAATAAATTAAATAGAAATGACAAAATAATTTTTCATTAAAAGGATGAAATACAGAATAAACAACACAATTAAAATACAGAAATGAATTAGATTATATTACTAATAGAACAAATTATTAACATGGATAACTAAAGATTAAAACTCATCTTCGTAAACTAAATATTGAAATATTTAAGAACAAATGATAAGAAAAGAAGCAAACCGAAGCCTGCATTAGACAGTTTTCTTAAAACAGATTCACCGCCTCCCAATGAATGTTGGAGGTATACCGGCGTCTTTCTCCTAATGCAGAAGCACATTTTGAATAGTTTTGGCGAACTTGACAATGAATGCACTCTCTCTAACAAAAACCAAAGAAAAGGCTAGGAAAAATTTTCTTTGGTGTAAAAAGCCATCTCCAACTTTAAAAAGCCATCACAAAACCTTTCTAAAACAGCCTACTAAGTTGGAGGATAAATGCCTCTATTTATACTAGCAGGAGAGAGCCTTAGCCAGGAAGGCTAACATCAATAGAGTCATCAAATGTCATCAACTCTAGCCATTAGGGCTAGAGTTATAAAGGTTCATGTAATAACCCCGACCTCTGATTTACGTTAATTCGTGGTTAAATAAGCTTAATCAGTAATTAAGAGAAATTCTGAATTAAATTGCATGTGTGTGTGTGCAATATTGTGCTTATATCTGTTTAGCGTAGAAAGATCTGTTCGTGTTTTCGTTTCGGTTTTTGAATTGAAGGCCTTATCGGCATTCGATTCAGAAATTGACTTGATTTATGTGTTAATTAGAATTTTTAGAATTTTATGGTAGGTTCAATTGAAATTCGATTTGGAATAATTAAATTAGATTAATTAATGCCACTTTGCTCAGCTTAAGCCAAATTAATTAAATATCACTAAGTGGGCCTATATAAGGCCACTTCTATCACTCCTACAAAATTTGTGACACCCTTGTTTCCTCATCTATGAACTCAACGTGAGAGAGAGAGAGGGGGAGGATGGATCTCAACTAGAGGATTGAAGAATTGAGCAAGAATTTGCTAGAATTGAAGGATTTGGACTTAGGAACACAAAATTAAGCTTCTAGGTCTAGCTTTCATCTTGATAAGCCTAGGTAAGGAATCTAACCCTTAGTTGTGTAATTGAGTTAGCTTTTGTAAGAATTCAAGTTAAAGAGGTGGACTATCATGAGAATGGGTTAGGATTAAAGAATTGTAACTCAAATCATACATGCATGTCCATATTATGAAGTTTTGAAGTTGTTTTCATAAGAATCCTTACATGCATGTTTATATTTTGGTTGTAGACTAAGAATTCACCATCTTTTTGAGTTGAATATTTCATTTGATCATGTTTTGGGAAGCTATGAACTCAAATTACACATGCATGACATGATCACATCATATTCTTACATTTCAAGTTGAATGTCGCACAATTGACATACTTTTGGGCCTTGATTTCGTGAAATGATCTTTACACCTTCATATTTTACAAGTTTACACATGTTTTCTTAAGTTTTGGTCCCAAAAGGATATGAATTATAGCTTTGGATTTGAATTTGTAGCTTGGGAGTGCAATCTGAAAATTCCAGATTCTGCACTTCTCCTCGAGCGTGAGATTCTACGCTCAAGCGGAAACCTTTGCTTTTGGATTTTTGCTCGAGCGACGTGAAGTACGCTCGAGCGTGAAATACATGCTCCCAGAAGTTTCATGTTTTTACAGACCGCTAGAGCGGCAAGAGTTGCGCTCGAGCGGAGGCATGAGCCTCACGTTCGAGTGGCCATCGAGCGTTCATTGAGCGTGAAAATCGCATAACTAGTACTTTTCAAAATTTGCAGAACGCTTGAACGCAGGAAGTTATGCTCAAGCGTCCCCTCACATATTGCATGTTCGCTCGAGCGGGGAAATATACGCTCGAGCGGGGACCCTATTTTCAGAAATTTGACCAAGCGTTTACCAATGCGTTTTAGTATCCTCATTGCATCCTAGGCATTCCTAAGCCAAGATTAAGACATAGTAATGAGGGTAAAATGTAGAAACACACTAACAACGGAACGTAATGAGTTAAATATATTTTATCGTGTGTTTCAAATGTGTATTTGTTATGTGTTAATGTAGGTCACGCACCTTGGGTTGAGTGAATTACCTACTCTACTCGCCTACTTGGAGCCATCTGTTAATTGTGAGTAACAACTCTGTAAAGCTATGTTTAATTACAAGTATTTTCTGACTGATATGATACAATCTGTTCTCTGAAATGCTATTTTATGAATTATGAATAAATGTCCATTTTTCTGAAATGTATTTGTGGCATCCTTAGCTCACGTGGCCCTTGTCTGGGGGTAACAGTATTGTGGCCAATATGCATGTGGCCCTCGCCAAGGGGTAACAATGCCATGGCTTATATTCACGTGGCCCTTGCCCGGGGGTAACAATACCGAGGCCTATATTCATGTGGCCCTTGTCCGGGGGTAACAATACCGAGGCCTATATTTACGTGACCCTTGCCTGGGGGAACAATGTCGTGGCTCCTTGCGCGCAAGATATGGACCTTTATGGTTGTCGATACCGACTATACAAGTGAGCCTCAGGGCCAAGTTGATATGATAGCTAATGGATGTACCACGTATGATTTTATGCAAGATCCAAATATGAATATGATTATGAGCATGAACTTGTATATGATCCTATTTCTTATTTGAAAATTTGAATATGCATAAGACCCTGTTTCTGATATAAACTCTGATTTCTAACTCTGTGATAGACATCATTCGCTAAAACCCCTTTACCTTGTTATTATTCACTGGGCTCTCGTTCACTATTTATATTATGTATATAGGTGACCAGGCACGTGATTAGGCCCAGAGTTGATGGCCTGGGATTCCATTTTGTCAGCCACCCTTTGTGCCTCCTGAGGAGGTTCCGGACCAAGTCAAGTTGTGTGGCTATGTCTTTTGAACATTCAACACTTTGTTTCTCTTGTTAATTAACAGTTTGTTTTTGATTATCTGTACATGGGATAGCGTATAATTACTGTACCTATGTGATGTTTTGGGTATGTTTATAAAGTTTAAAATTATTTTTTTCCATGTATGTCTGCACAGCTCAATGGTCGATGTTTATTTTGTATATTTGCTTCTGCGGCCCCTATCTTATGTTATCCTGTTTAGAGGCCTTTGGTAATCTAAGGATTACTGGCCGGTTACGATGCTAAACCCCTAGGGGCGGGTTTGGGTGTGGCAGAGTGGTTTCAGAGCACGTGTTTTACTGCACACACGTGTCCATATGAGCTTAGGATGTCCTAGTAATAAGTAGAGACATTCCATCTATATGTGTATGTGTGTGGTAATCCTTATGAATGAGAAAACTGAATTTGAATATGGACAAATGAAATTGGAAGAAATGAATAAGATTATTCCTATGTTTATTATTATTTGGTGTCTCTTTAGCAACATGGAGAATGTAAAAGAAAATGACATAAGTGAATCTTTTGAGGCTCGAATGAACAGAATGGAACAGATGCTTGTGGCCTTGACTGAATCAATGACGCAGCAACTAAGACAACAACCTTTGCCTCTTCCACCTCCGCCGATGTTAGCCGAACCAAACAATAATGACATTATCAATTTGACTCAGAAATTTATGAAAATGAAACCGTCGACCTTCTTGGGTGGTATTGAACCATTGAAGGTAGAAACCTGGTTGCTAGAAATAGAAAAGTTATTTGAAGTATTCCCTTGCTCTGTAACTCAGAAAGTCTTTTTGGCTACTTACACCCTAAAGGATGAAGCCCGGAGATGGTGGCGGTTGGTTCGAAATAACAATGGGGACATGACATGGGTACAATTCAATAAGATATTCTACAACAAGTACTTTCCCCAATGCTTCAGGGACCAAAAAGTTTCTGAATTCCAAGAACTCAAACAAGGAAGAATGTTTGTGGCTGAATATAAAGCTAAGTTTACTAAATTAGCTCGTTTTGCCCCACACATGGTGGACACCGATTATAATAAAGTGCGAAAGTTCGAGGAAGGACTGGACCTGGGAGTATTTGATCGAGTAGGTGTCTTGAAATTGCCTACTTATGTAGAAGTGCTCAACAAGGCATTGATGGCAAAGGCCATAATAGCAGCTAAGAAACAAACTGCAACTCCAACAATTGAATGAAAATGAAAGAGGACTAGATTCAATTTCAAGAAGGGCCAATCATTTTCAAAGAAGCAAAATATAGGATATTCCAGTAGCACTAGTCAGAGTAACGGATCTATTCTAAACTACCCCGACTGCAGAAAGAGACATAAAGGTGCATGTTACCGTGCATCAGGTACGTGTTTCCGGTGTGGCAAGACTGGCCACATGGTTAGGGATTGCCCAATGAGGCCCGATGAGGTTAACCGTCCTTCGGCAAGTTTAGCCAGGTCTGTTTCTGCAGTGAGATCAAATGCAAGAACTAACACCAGAGGTAACACGAACAATGGAACATTGAGGTAAGGGAGAGTGTTTGCACTAGTGCCTGGAGATGTACAGAATACCGAGTCTGTGGTGTCAGGTATAATTTCCATCTGTGCCCAAAATGCATATGTGCTGATAGATTCTGGTTCTACCCATTCATTTGTATCGCATACATTTTCTCAGAAACTAACTAGACCATTAGAAACTATGAACTGTTTACTATCTGTATCTACACCGTTTGGGGGTTCTATGATATGTGCTTGTGTTTATCCGGCATGTGATATTATGATTAGTGGTATGACACTATATGTTGATTTGTTGCCCTTGAGCATTGATCATTTTGATTGTATTATGGGTAGGGACTAGTTGACTAAATACTGTGCCACTATTGACTGTACAAGTAAATCTATTGTGTTTAGACCACCTAGTATGCTCGAATTTATTTTTACTAGAAATGGGGTAATTTCTCCACCATACTTGATTTCATTTATGAAAGCCAGGAAATTGTTGAGGAAAGGTTGCCGGGGCTACATGTGTTGTGTGTTGACTATGTCTTTGGATAGTACTAATGTGGAAGCTATTCCTGTGGTTTGTGACTTTCCTGATGTGTTTCCTAAGGGCTTACCTCGAAAGTTAATTGATAGGGAAATTGAGTTCACCATAGATGTTGTACCCGGGACACAGCCGATTTCGAAAACTCCATATAGAATGTGCACAACTGAACTAAAAGACTTGAAGGTCCAACTCCAAGAACTTTTAGATAAGAAATTCATCCGTCCGAGCACATCACCGTGGGGTGCCCCAGTGTTGTTTGTAAAGAAGAAGGATAGGTCGTTGAGATTATGTATAGATTACTGTGAACTGAACAAAGTAACGGTCAAGAACAAATACCCTCTGCCTCGAATAGATGACTTGTTTGACTAATTGCAGGGAGCATAAGTGTTTTCTAAAATTAACCTTAGATCCGGGTATCACCAGTTAAAACTCAAAGCAGAAGACGTAGAGAAAACCGTTTTCCGAATCAGACATGGGCACTATGAATTTCTGGTAATGCCTTTTGGAGTAACTAATGCACTTGCAGCATTCATGGATTTAATGAATAGGGTGTTCAAACAATTTCTAGATGAATTCATTGTTGTCTTTATTGATGATATACTAATTTACTCTAATAGCAAGGAAGAACATGAGAATCATTTGCGAATAACTTTACAGACCTTGAGAGAAAAGAAACTGTACGCAAAATTATCCAGATGTGAATTCTGGCTTGACAGTGTGACATTTTTGGGACACATGATCAACAAGGATGGTGTATCTGTAGACCCACAGAAAATTGAAGCCATTGTTGACTGGCCAAGACCAACCAATGTGTTAGAAGTTAGAAGTTTTCTGGGACTTGCTGGTTATTATAGAAGATTTGTGAAAGACTTCTCAAAACTTGGCACACCATTGACACAATTGACACAGAAGAATGTACAGTTTGATTGGAATGATCAGCGTGAATCAGCTTTTCAAGAGTTGAAAACCAGATTAGTGACTGCACCAATTTTAACTTTACCTAATGGTACTGATGGGTTCCAAATTTACAGTGACGCTTCGTATAAAGGGTTGGGTTGTATGCTAATGCAAAATGGGAAGGTAATTGCTTATGCTTTTCGGCAACTACGTCCTCATGAAAAGAATTACCCGACTTATGATCTTGAACTGGTAGCTGTAGTGTTTGTTTTGAAAATTTGGCGCCATTATTTATACGGAGTAACTTGTGAAGTGTACACGGACCATAAAAGCCTCAAATACTTTTTTACCCAAAAAGAACTAAACATGAGACAAAGAATGTGGCTAGAATTAATCAAAGACTATGATTTACAAATTCTATATCATACAGGAAAGTCAAATACCATTGCTGATGCATTGAGCCGGAAATCCATTGCTAATTTGTCGTGTTTGCTCACCAGCCAGAGAGAGTTGTTATGTGACTTGGAGAAGAATGAGATTGAAGTTGTGTTATGTGAACAGGGCGGAATCTTACCCGCCATTTCTGCTCAGCCTGCAATCATTGAAGAAATTAAAGGGAAACAACGCGAAGATGTGTTTATGAGGAACATTGTTGATGAAATTGAATCAAAACCGAAACCAGGATTTGTGCTTGACAATGATGTGTTGAAATTTCAAAGTCGCCTTTGTGTGCCGAACTGTTTAGACCTCAGGAAACGCATCATAACTGAAGCTCATAACTCAAAATTTGCTATGCATCCGGGAAATATGAAGATGTACCATGATTTGAAACAGAATTTCTGGTGGCCGAGAATGAAAAGGTGTATTGCAGATTTTGTGGCTAGATGTTTACACTATCAACAAATTAAAGCCGAACATCAGCGACCCGCTGGTTTGTTACAACTGCTTCCAATACCGAAATGGAAATGGGAACACATCACCATGGGCTTCATTGTGGGACTGCCTCGCTCCTCCCGAGGTATGGATTCTATCTGGGTTATTGTTGATCGTTTAACTAAGTCTGCCTATTTTCTGCCTGTCAAATCTTTGTATAATGCGGATAAGTTGGCTAATTTGTATGTCAATGAGATTGTAAAATTGCATGGAATTCTAGTGTTTATAGTATCTGATAGAGATCCCAAGTTTACTTCAAGATTTTGGCAGAGTTTGCAATAGGCCTTGGGGACTGAACTGAGATTAAGCAGTGCTTATCCTCCACAGATGGATGGCCAATCTGAACGGACCATACAAACATTGGAGGACATGTTACGAATGTCTGTGTTGGACTTTCAAGGTAATTGGGAAACTTACCTTCTTCTGGTTGAATTTGTGTATAACAACAGCTATCATTTAAGCGGGATGGCTCCCTACAAGGCTTTGTATGGTAAAAAATGCTGATCTTCGATATGTTGGGCCGAAGTAGGTGATAAACCTTGTGGGACCGGAATTGTGCAAGAAACAACCAAGAAAGTGAAACTGATCGAACAACGTTTGAAAACTGCACAGAGCCGGCAAAAGAGTTATGCTGATGTTCGAAGAAGAGACCGAGAATATAAAGTTGGGGATCACGTGTTTATTAAAGTGACTCCAATGAAAGGACAAATATGATTTGGTGTTAAGGGAAAATTAGCACCAAGATATGTTGGGCCATATGAAGTTCTAGAGAGAATCAACCCGGTGACGTATCGGGTAGCCTTACCACTAGTTATGAAGCATATGCACAACGTTTTTCATGTCTCTATGCTTTGGGTTTATTTGAGAGACCCACTATACGTGATAGAGCCGACTCAGGTGCTTCTAAAAGATGATTATACGTACGAGGAGAGGCCAATGCAAATTGTTGATTGGCCGAATCAAAAGATTAAGAAACAAGGAAATTCTATTAGTAAAGGTTGATTGACAGAATCACAGAGGAACATATCCAACTTGGGAGACAAAAGAAGACATGATGAGAAGATATCCTGAGTTGTTTCCTTTGAATTCAATATTCTTCAGAAATGAAGGTAATTCGAGTTTGGAGGACCAAACTCTTTAAGGGGGGAAAGCTGTAATAATCCCAACCTCTGATTTACGTTAATTCGTGGTTAAATAAGCTTAATCAGTAATTAAGAGAAATTCTGAATTAAATTGTTTGTGGGTATGTGCAATATTGTGCTTTTATCTGTTTAGCATAGAAAGATCTGTTCGTGTTTTCGTTTCGGTTTGTGAATTGAAGGCCTCATCGACATCCGATTCAGAAATTGACTTGATTTATGTGTTAATTAGAATTTTTAGAATTTTATGGTAGGTTCAATTGAAATTCGATTTGGAACAATTAAATTAGATTAATTAATGCCACTTTGCTTAGTTTAAGCCAAATTAATTAAATATCACTAAGTGGGCCTATATAAGGCCACTTCTATCACTCTTACACATTTTTGACACCCTTGCTTCCTCATCTATGAACTCAACGTGAGAGAGAGAGAGAGAGAGAGAGAGAGGATGGATCTCAACTAGAGGATTGAAGAATTGAGCAAGAATTTGCTAGAATTGAAGGATTTGGACTTAGGAACTCAAAATTAAGCTTCTAGCTCTCATCTTGACAAGCCTAGGTAAGGAATTTGACCCTTAGTTATGTAATTGAGTTAGCTTTTGTAAGAATTCAAGTTAAAGAGGTAGACTAACATGAGAATAGGCTAGGATTAAAGAATTGTAACTCAAATCATACATGTATGTCCGTATTATGAAGTTTTGAAGTTGTTTTCATAAGAATCCTTACATGCATGTTCATATTTTGGTTGTAGACTAAGAATTCACCATGTTTTTGAGTTGAATATTTCATTTGATCATGTTTTGGGAAGCTATGAACTCAAATTCCACATGCATGACATGATCACATCATATTTTTATATTTCAAGTTGAATGTTGCACAATTGACATACTTTTGGGCCTTGATTTCATAAAATGGTCTTTACACATTCATATTTTACAAGTTTACACATGTTATCTTAAGTTTTGGGCCCAAAAGGATGTGAATTATAGCTTTGGATTTGAATTTGTAGCTTGGGAGTGCAATCTGGAAATTCCAAATTCTGCACTTCCGCTCGAGCGTGAGATTCTACGCTCGAGCAGAAACCTTTGCTTTTGGATTTTCGCTCGAGCGACCTGAAGTATGCTCGAGCGTGAAATACATGCTCCCAGAAGTTTCATGTTTTTACAGACCGTTCGAGCGGTGGTATGAGCCT